GTTGTATTCATTAGCGTTGTGGTTGGTTGTAGTTCATATAGCTCAGTGTGTTGTGTTGTTTCAAAAAAACCTTCAACTCTTGATGCAGCTTCGTCCCATGGTCATGAGAAACCTCATCTGATTGTCTTCAAAACCTTCAACTCTTGAATGCAGCTTCGTCATGTGCATGAGAAACCTCTTCAGATTGTCTTCCAACCCTTCAACTCTTGATGCATGCTTCGTCATGTCATGAGAAACCTCTTGTGATTTGTCTTCAAACCTTCAACTCTTGATGCAGCTTTCGTCATATGCAGGAAACCTCTTCTGATTGTCCGTCAAACCCTTTCAACTCTTTGATCAGCATCGCATGTGCCAATGAAGAAACCTCTTTCTGATTGTCTTCAAACCTTCAACTCTTGATGCACTTCGTCATGTGGCATGAGAAAACCTCTTACAGATTTTCTTCAAACCTTCAACCTTGATGCAGCTTCGTCATGGTGTCAAGAGAAACCCTCATCTTATTGTCTTTCAAACCTTCAACTCTTGTGCACTTCGTCCTGTGCTTGACATCCTTCTTTCTGATTACGTCTTCAAACCTTCAACTCTTGAGTTCTTACTTGAAGAAAACTTATAATTTTATTGAAGTATAGATAGAATATTTCTGGTAAATAACAAGAATGTTCTGCCTCTGAACAACTTTTAAACTTATATAACGACTGATGGATCGTATAGCAAACTGACCATTTGTTCAGGTAATAACAGATGTCTTCCTCTGATCAACATCAGTCTTTATTAACTTGACTGATGGATCAATTTATAAACAACTTAACAATTTGTTCTGGTAAATTAACAGGATTGTTCTTCCCTCTGAACTACTTCAGTCTTTATTAACGACTGATGGATCATATAAACAACTTAACATTTGTAAATTTGCCAGTTTACTAAGACAGTTAAAAACTTACAAAGTTTAGATCCTGGACAATAAGAAGAGAATGTCTTGTTCAGGATAAACTGGTCTAGATCCTGGACAATAAGATGAGAAAGTCTTGTTCAGGATAAACTGGTCAAGATCCGGACATAAGTAAAGAATGTCTTGTTTTCAGGATAAACTGGTCTAGATCTCCTGGACAATAAGAAAGAAAAGTTCTTGTTCAGGATAAACTGGTCTAGATCCTGGACAATAAGAAGAGAATGTCTTGTTCAGGATAAACTGGTCTAGATCCTGGACAATAAGAAGAGAATGTCTTGTTCAGGATAAACTGGTCTAAGATCCTGGACAATAAAGAAGAGAATGTCTTGTTCATGATAAACTGTCTATACCTGGAACAATAAGAAGAGAATGTCTTGTTCAGGATATCTGGTCTAGCTCCTGACAATAAGAAGAAGAATGTCTTGTTCAGGATAAACGGTCTAGATCCTGGACAATAAGAAGAGAATGTCTTGTTCAGATAAACTGGTCTAGATCCTGGACAATAAGAAGACATGTCTTGTTCAGGATAAAAAACTGGTCTAGATCCTGGACAATAAAAGAGAATGTCTTGTTCAGATAAACGGTCTAGATCCTGGACAATAAGAAGAGAATGTCTTGTTCAGGAAAACTGGTCCAGATCTGACAAAAGAAACAAATGTCTTGTTCAGGATAAACTGTCAGTTCCTGGACAATAAGACGAGAATGTCTTGTTCAGGATAAACAGGCTAGATCCCCTGGACAATAAGAAAGAGAAATGTCTTGTTCATTATAAACGTTCTAGATCCTGGACAATAGAAGACAATGTCTTGTTCAGGATAAACTGGTCTAGATCTGGACAATAAGAAGAGAAGTCATGTTCAGGATAAACTGTCCTAGATCCTGGACAAATAAAGAGAAATTCTTGTTCAGGATAAACTGGTCTAGATCCTGGACAATAAGAAGACAATTGTCTTGTTCAGGATAAACTGGTCCTAGATCCTGGACAATAAGAAAGAGAATGACTTGTTCAGATAAACTGGTCTAGATCCTGGACAATAAGAAAAATTCTTGTGCAGGATAACTGGTCTAAGCCTGGACAATAAGAAACAATGTCTTGTTCAGGATAAACGTGGTCTAACTTTACTATATTAAGTTGTTTCAATTAGCCCTTGACAGTGTATACTCTCTTTGGTGATTTTATTAAAGAGAAAGGAAAAAGACTGGACTTTCATTAAATAATTTGTGAACATATTTTATTTATGATGACGATTAGTTTAACTAAAAGAAGCTATGTTCTTTGTTACTGCAGTGTAGATGACAGTATCAAACACTACATCTGCCTCAACTGACCTTGTATGGTGACTCATACCCATCCATGGATGTTACTTGACAGGTATTTCAGTATCAAACACGACACTCTGCCAGTCGAACTGACCTTGTATGGTTGACTCAATACCTCCTACCTGAAATGTTACTTGACAGTGTAGGTGCCATACAAACACTAAACTGTCTGCTAACCTGACCTTGTATGGTGACATCATACCTCAATACCTGGATTTACTTGACAGTGTAGGTTACAGATTCAACACTACACTGCCCAGCTGTCCTGTATGTGACTCAATACCTCATACCTTAATGTACTTGCCAGTTAGTGACAGTCTCAAATTCATTCCAACTACACTGTCTCAACTGACCTTGGTATGGTGGACTCATACCTCATAGCCTGGATGTTACTTGATAGTGTAGGTGACAGTATCAACACTACACTGCCTCAGCTCCTTGTATATGGTGACTCATTACCTCATACCTTGAGATGTTACTTGCCAGTGTGGGTGACAGTATCCAAAGCTACACTGCCCTCAGCTGTCCTTGTATGGTGACTCATATCTGGAGGTTACTTGACAGTGTAGTGTTTACGATTCAAACACTCCACGCCTCAGCTGTCCTTGATGGTGACTCATACCTCATACCTGGATGTACTTGACATGTGGGTGACATAATCAAACACTACACTGCCACAGCTGTCCTTGTATGGTGACTCAATCTGGATGTTTCCTTGACAGTGTAGTACAGTATGAAACACCACACTGTCTTAGCTGAACCATTCTATGGTGATTTATAAACCTCATACCTGACTTTTACTACAGTGTAGGTGACGGTATCCAACACTACAGTGCCTCAGCTGCCCTTGTATGTGTCTCATACCTCATACCTGAATGTTATTTGGCAGTGTAGGTGACAGTATCAAACACTACACAGCCTAAGCCGACCTTGTAATGGTGAACTCATATTTCATACATGGAAATTGCTTGACAGCAATAGGTTGACAGTCTCAAACACTACACTCCTAATCTGAACCTTGTCATGATACTTCATATTTCAACCTGGAAATTTCATAGACAAGCATCGTGACAGTATCAAACACTCACATCTGCCTCAGCTGATCTTGTGTTGTGACTCAATACCTCATATGTGGAATGTTACTTGTAAGTGTAGTGACATACACACACTTCACTAGTCTCAGCTGACCTTGTATAGTGACTCATACCACATACCTGGATGCACAGTGTCAATGCTTAATAATAGACATATTCCGAGTGTATTTATAATAAAAAAATTGTCATGTTTTTCAGGAGGTGTGAGGTGTTTTGTTAGATGCAAGAAAACCACATGTGACGGTGTTTCCTCGTCCGCCGGCGCCAGACTCCACAAGTGAACATCAGAAGGACTGGCAAGACGACAATACTGGCTATCGGTTACCCAAGTGAGAATATTGTTGGTAATCCTGTTATCTTGTGATCACTCTGATGTGTTGTAAGCACATGAAACCCATGTTGTAGTTCTGAACACCATGTGATGTGTTGTAGTTTCAAAAATCTCCAGACTTGAAATTCATGCTGGATCTCAATGATGTTTGTAGTTTCAACGCAACTCTGTTTTATGTTCAAATCAGCTTTCCTGTTTGTATTTCTAGTAGGTATTGTTCTGTTTCAAGGTAGTACACGGAGTTTTTATGTCTGGTGTAAACACTTTGTGTCGTATTAGTTCATGTAGCGCTCTATGTCGAGTATGTAGTTCATATAGATCACTGTTTTGTAGTGTAGTTCAAGTAAATCTATGTTTTGTGTTGTATTTTGTATACATGTAGTACTGTGTTGTGTGGTATTCATTTAACCACTGTGAGTTTGTGTGTAGTTCATTTACCACTGTGAGTTGTGTTGAAGTTCATTTACCATTGTGAGTTTGGAGTTGTAGTTTCATTTACTTACCAATGTGAGTTTGTGTTGTAGTTCAATTACCATTGTGAGTTGTGTTTTGTGTAGTTCATTTTACCATGTAGTTGTGTTAGTAGTTCATTTACCACTGTGAGTTGGAGTTTAGTTCATTTACCTTGTGATTGAGTTGTAGTTCATTCCATTGAGATTGTGGATGTAAGTTCCTTTACCACTTGGAGTTGTGTTGTATTCATTTACCACTGTGATTGTGTTGTTAGTTCATTTACACTCTGAGTTATGTTGAATTCTGTGTTTTGATTTAGTTCCATATTACCTCAGTAATTTTTGTAGTTTCATTCAGCCTGGCCTCAGATCTCGCCGCGGGGCGTTGACCCCCGAAACTCTCACTAGGTACACTCCAGGTAGTATTATGCGTTGTGTTCACGTAGATGTACTCTTTTTGTGAGTTCCTGTAGCTCTTTGCAGTGTTTTTCTGTTCATGTACCCTCTGTGTTGTGTTGTAGTGTTTCAAGAAGCTCTCTGTTGTGTTGTAGTTCATGGGCTCTGTTGTATCAGCTCATGCAGCTTTTGGTGTTGTGTTGCAGTTCATTTAAACTCCTCTGTATTTGTTTCCTAGTTCATGTAGCTCCTCTGTGTTGTGATGTACTCAGTAGCTTCTGTTGCGTACTGCTACATGCAGTCTCTGTGTAGTCTTGTAGATCATGTTGCTCTGTGTGTAGTGTTGTAGTTCATGTTGTGTAGAGAGTACATGTTATGAAGTACATATGATGTACATGTTGATAACGTTACACTATCTGTGAAGATTGTGAATGTCAGAGTGTTGTGATCACCTGCAGGTAATGACAACCTTCACGCCCTGACTAGCGGAGGTCATCGTTACCGACTCAAGGTGATCGCTACCAACCTGCGAGGAGAACAACGATCTGCAGTGTGGGAGACCTTCAGTGTAGCTGATGAACTTAACAAGTATGTGTTAACTCTCTTGTTTATTATGTTATATTCTTCTCCAGCATGTTAGTGTAAGTGATGAAGTTAACAAGTATGTGTTAACTCTCTTGTTTATTATGTTATATTCTTCTCCAGCATGTTAGTGTAAGTGATGAAGTTTTAAAAAGTATGGGGTTAACTCTCTTTTTTATTATGTTATATTCTTCTCCAGCATGTTAGTGTAAGTGATGAAGTTAACAAGTATGTGTTAACTCTCTTGTTTATTATGTTATATTCTTCTCCTGCATGTTAGTGTAAGTGATGAAGTTAACAAGTATGTGTTAACTCTGTTATTACGTTATATTCTTCTCCAGCATGTTAGTGTAGCTGATGAACTTAACAAGTATGTGTTAACTCTGTTGTTTATTATGTTATATTCTTCTCCAGCATGTTAGTGTAAGTGATGAAGTTAACAAGTATGTGTTAACTCTGTTGTTTATTATGTTATATTCTCCTGCATGTTAGTGTAAGTGATGAAGTTAACAAGTATGAGTTAACTATGTTGTTTATTATGTGATATTCTCCAGCATGTTAGTATAAGTGATGAAGTTAACAAGTATGTGTTAACTCTGTTGTTTATTATGTTATATTCTCCACATGTTAGTGTAAGTGATGAAGTTAACAAGTATGTGTTAACTCTGTTGTTTATTATGTTATATTCTCCAGCATGTTAGTGTAAGTGATAAGTTAACAAGTATGTGTTAACATGTTGTTTATTATGTTATGTTCTCCAGCATGTTAGTGTAAGGGGATGAAGTTAATAAGTATGTGTTTTAACTCATTTTCCTGTATGTTAGTGTAAGTGATGCAACCAGCAGTTAATGTTAGTCTATAACAAGCTTACCGTAAAAAATTATAAGATTTTTCTCATAAGAATAATTATATCAGTTATTGGTTATTTCAATTAAAAACTTTCAGAAAACAATAGAAAATAGAGATGTGCTGATATGCATTGTTCAAAAATACTAACTGAATTAATAATTTGAATGAATAAGTGATTTATAGATTCTTATCATGGGACTCCAATGATTATTTTATCTCTTATGGACCTAGTTACAATGTTACTGGACTCCAAGAATTGTTATCTTTACTTTAATGGATCTTGTTGCAATAGGGAATCTATTGGGATTTGGTTTGATTAATTAACCCTTTCTGTAACATTGTCACTTCCAATCTCTGCCTGTTTCATGTGTGCTTCGAAGTAGAAGTGAGTTATCAGAGTTAACATATCACAAGAACTTTCAAGGTGCTGACATGACTCACGAAATCGTAATGACACGATTGCAAACAAACCATACCCCGGCCGGGATTGAACCCGCGGTCAGAGAGTCTCAAAACTCCAGCCCGTCGCGTTAGCCACTAGACCAGCTAGCCACAATAAGATTCGTATAACTAGGTATATTTCTACACCATAGGAAGGTTAGCACAGGCACCACTGTGACCACAAATGCAAGTTTTTACAGACGAATCTCCAGCTAGCGTGGCCGTGACGAACTCTAGCTCAAGTCCCTTCACTGCCGTCAACATGACTCTCGAAATCGTAATGACACGATTGCAAACAATCCATACCGGGCGGGCCGGATTGAACCCACGGTCAGAGAGTCATCACGGGCTGGAGTTTTGAGAACTCACTAACCGCGGGTTTCAATCCCGGTTGGGGTATGTTTTTTTTCAAGGTGCTTGTTGTACTGACCCCAAGAAAGTTACCAGCAAAAGCGTAGTTAACACAAACCAAGAAAATGACAATTAAGATATAAACCAAAGTTCAGTTTTCTGAATTACTATGTATTTCCTCCACTAACATTTATGTACAATTATTTAACACTCCCTATTCTGTGGAGCCTTAAGTTTCCTCAATAGCCTCTGTGTGGAACTCTATCAAAGCCTTACTGAAGCCATATACACAATATCATATTTCATTACCATGATCTACCTCCTCAAACACGCTTAGTGAAAAAGTTTGTAAATCGTAAAAATCAGATTCAGGAAAGGATATAGAAAGCAATGGTTTGGTAATAGAGTCGAGGATGATGGAACACACACCCGAGTACAGATATTGAGCTTTAAAAAAATGGTAAAAAATACTGACTAGATGTTTAGGTTACAACACATACGCACAGTTAGTAGGCGAAACGTTTCGAATCAAGATACCTAAAACTTTGCATAAGTGGTCTTACCTAACAACAGTTATTGAGGCTAAAACGTTGTGTAGTTTTAAAAATAGGTTAGATAAATACATGAGTGGGTGTGGGTGGGTGTGAGTTGGACCTGACTAGCTTGTGCTGCTGGGTTTGGTGCAGTGCTCCATCCTTGAGTGGAGATGACCAGACTGGGTGGGTCATTGGGCTAATCCGGAGGGTCATTGGTCTAATCCGGGGGAGGGGGACATGGACCTGCTACACATGGGTCAGTAGGCCTGTTGCAGTGTTCCTTCTTTCTTATATTCTTATGTTCTTAGGAGTAGGTGGGTAGGTGCACACACGTGTGCGGTGGCTCGGTTTCCTAAAGTGTTAGCTGTGGCTACTAAAAGGGAAAACACAGTGGAAAAGAAACATTGATGCTGTGAATTATTGACTTGTCGACTGTGATCAGCACACACGTAATCCTGGCATTTATTTTTTTAGTGGAAATTAAACAAAAAATTGGAAGTGTCCCACCCCCAAAGGACCCCCGACCAAGTCCAGTGTTGTTTGGAAACAAGAAGTGTTGCCATTCAATTCAATTCAAGTTTATTCTCTATAATATTAACAGTGCTGAGTTTAACCAGAATTTGGTTATTAGTGGTTTACCATGAAGTAAAATAATACAGAGTGTACAACTAGAACACCTAGCATGGCTTAGCCTTTCGGGCAGACTAGTTTAAAATATTACAAAAAATTATGAGGAATGGGGTATTATGGCTAAAGTGACTAATACTAGTTGTGAGTTTAGCAATGTGAATGCTTTAGGTTTTGGCACTATTAGCACAGTTTCAGAATAGGAGTATCACAGGCCAACTAATGACTAGTTAAATCATTATTTTGAGATTGAGATTGATATTTTCTGTATTATGGTCAAATGGGTGAGTGAGTGGGTAAAAACGCGCAACCACCAGGTGGTAATCATGTAGTTTAGTGACGGGGTGTATCAGGGAGATAAAGTTTATCTGATAGTAGTTTTGAAGGTGACCAAGGGAAGCAAGTAAATTGTATTATTAAGTGAATATGGAAAAAGTGGACACCATTAAGGTAACCGTAGTGAAAGGCGTAGACCTAGCTAGAAAAAATTACCCAAAATAACTAATAACACTAAGAAATCAGCATTAAATAAATTTAAATGGAAATGTAAGGGGACAATTACCATAGGCCAAACTGCCGTGTCAGTGATAAAACAACGACCTCAGTATGTGTGAATAAACATAATGTATCACCATTGTGATAACCAGTATAACAACAGAGCGAAAACATATCAGTAAACAAAAAATATAGTGAATTGAGTAACAGTTCCCGTCCTGGTGTTGATATGTGTGTCAATGTACACACAAAGGTTTGAGTTACCACTTATAATGAAATGACTAGGATATTGATACATAGTGGAAAGACTTAGTGAATCTAAATTGTCAGTGGAACGACTAAAGGATAGTGATTAAATATAATGGAAGTGTTTTTATACTAAAATATGTCATTGGATGAGAAAAGTGCCATGTACCCTGGGGTATTGTGCTACAGCCATACGTCTGGCAGTGCTGCCAGGCAACCACAAAGGCCCACCATATAGTAACATATGACACCATATACCCCACACCACAGTAACACAATCTTAGCAAGAAAACATGTGCTTGACTAGTGTATGTTGGGAGCTCGGGAAATGTACCTGATTTGGAAAAGTCTGTGTGATGTAAAAATGTTTTTGATGAATAGTAAATCTGTGTAATAAATACATCTCACATACAGTGGAAACATGAAAGGTTGTACAAATATTGTGGAGTTATTAAAAAACTGTACAGGTTGTAGGAATAAGAGAAAACAGTCGAGTTGTCAGTGAACATAATATACACAACAGTGAACATAATATACACAACAGTGAACATAATATACACAACAGTGAACACAATATACACAACAGTGAACACAATATACACAACAGAACATAATATACACTACGTGAACAAACAATATACACAACAGTGAACACAATATACACAACAGTGAACACAATATACACAACAGTGAACACAATATACACAACAGTGAACACAATATACACAACAGTGAACACAATATTCACAAAGTGAACCAATATACACTAACATGAACACATATATCACAACAGTGAACACAATATACACAACAGTTGAACACAATATATACAACATGAACATAATAAACACAACATTGAACATAATATACACAACAGTGGAACATAAATATACACAACAGTGAAAGACACAATATACACAACAAGTGAACCAATCTACACAACATGAACACAATATATACACATTGACACAATAATATACAACAGTGAACACAATATACACAACAGTGAACATAATATACACAACAGTGAACATAATATACACAACAGTGAACATAATATACACAACAGTGAACATAATATACACAACAGTGAACATAATATACACAACAGTGAACACAATATACACAACATGAACACATATACACAACAGTGAACACAATATAACAACAGTGAACATAATTATACACAACATTGAAACAATATACAACAACAGTGAACATAATATACACAACAGTGAACACAATATACACAACAGTGAACACAATATACACAACAGTGAACACAATATACACAACAGTGAACACAATATACACAACAGTGAACACAATATACACAACAGTGAACACAATAATACACAACAGTGAACACATAAACACAAAAGTGAACACAAATATACAGCATTGGAACACAATATTACACAACAGTGAACACAATATATGACAGTGAACACAATATATACA